TTCCATGCCTCAACCTCTGTGATGATTAACGGTAGGATTTCATCACCTTTCCCTCTGACTCGGTCCCTACGTCAAGGATACCCCCTCGCGCCGCTGATGTTTGTGCTACAGATGGATGTATTACTCAACAAGGTGAGGTGCAACCCTTACATTATTGGCTTGAGAACCCGACACCAACAGCAATTCAAAGGCAGTGCTTTGGCGGACGACCTCACCATAGTCTCTAGGAATACCACTAATTCTCTACAGGCGGTACGAGAGACATTGGCAGAATATTGTGTTCTCTGTGAGGCTCAAGTCAACTGGTTCTTGCCAGATCAGTATGAGATATGTGTGGATTTTGGGATGAAAAAGATCCCTGCTGACTCTTCTGAAAGATTCCTAGGGGTTCAAGTTTCGCTGCAGAACTGCGCTGAGATACAAGACAAGATTTTGGTTGGGAAAGTGGAGCAGAGACTACTAAAATGGAAAATAATCTACGGTCTCTCGTTGTTCGGGAGGGCTCTAATAGTGAATGCAGCAGTTTTTTCTCAATTATGGTATGCGGGGTCGGTCAGACCACTGGGGAAGAAGGCTGCACAATCCTTTAGAGCGGTGGCCTCCAAGTACATTTGGAAACCGGAGGCGGAAGAAGGACAAGGCCACATGTCTAAGCTATCCTGGGATAAGATTACGGAGGTGAAGGAGGAAGGAGGTTTAGCAGTGCTGGACCCGGTATGCCAAAACAGGGCCCTTCTCTCCAAGTGGCCGGTCAAGGCGCTCACGCATACGGAAGAACGCAGTTGGGTGGCTTTAGCAGAATATACCCTGGCCAAGGACTGGGGATTGAACAATGGAGAGGATGTGTGGTTATTAATATCATCCCCAGCATATCAGAGACGGAGGCCGAAGCCGGCATTTTGGCAAGGGGTTATCCAGGCATGGCGGACAGTTGCACCAAGCCCCATAAGGGAACCACAGACACAGGATGAAGTTCTGCGCCAACCCTTGTTCGAGAACTGTTGGATCAAGGATCAGGAGGGGTTCCCCTTCGCAATATCAGGAAGGGGCAGTTTTGGCAGAACGTGGGTGGAGAGAGGAGTGCTCAGGGTTGAAGACCTATGGGATGAGACACATAAGTCTTGGAGAAGTACAGAGGGCCTGAGAAGTAAACTCAGACGACTGTGGTACGTGGAAGAAAGGAGAGAAGTGTTAGTACAGGCTGTCCCGGCGGCATGGAAGCATTTGTTGGAAGACGGAACAGCTACAGGCCAGTGGTATCGACCTGTGCTTAGTATGGGAGGGAACATGCAGGTGTACAAGCAAGTTGATGAAGGCAAGTTCGAAGTGTGGGAGAGGCAGACGGCGGAGGGCATCAGCCAAGACACACTAGTGTTTAAAGAACAACGGGCGTTGGTTAACCCGGGCTTTATGGAGGAAGTTAGAGTCTCTCTGCAGTTTTCTGCGGTTGGGACACCGCAACCGGTTCTACAGCTCAATGGCACCCCAATCAGGCGGATGCGATTGGATATTGGATTAACTGGGTGGCCTAAATTCAGGGGTCAGCCGACAATCCATCAATACACCTCCAAACTGGGCATGGAAATTCTGAGATTGGAAGGTAGCTCTTCTCGGAAGATACAGGAGGCGGTCCCCGAGGCGTTTACAGGCTCAAGTCTATCCATGGGATACTACAAAGAGAAATGGACGGTGTGCCTGAGATTACAGGATAAGAAAGCCGCCTCCATAGTGTGGTTGATAACTCATGCGGCTCCGCTGGACGCAGTAGCATTGTTCAGAAGAGGGCTGGATGTGGATGTTAAGTGCGTCAGATGTCACCATCATCCGGAGGACACTACGCATCTGTGGGGTACTTGCCTCCTCTCACTTCGGATTTGGAAGTGGTGGTCACATCATTGGAAGGAGATGGGAGGGCCTGTGGACGTAGAATGGGATTTGGAGTGGGCAGTCACGGGACACCTGCTGAAAAGTGGGAAGGGTTGGGGGTATGTGGCAACTTCAATCCGAGCATTGGCAATTTGGTGGATTTGGAAGGAGAGGAACTCAGTGCTATTCCAAGGCAGGTACTTCTCGGACGTAGAATTGAAGAGGGGTATGAAGGCTTCAATCCGTCATATGATAATGGTGGACTGGAGGAAGAAAGTCTTATCTAAATCCGAACCAGGGCGCTACAGGGCAAGATTGTGGTTTCTGCGCTCCTGGGCCAAGAATAATCGTTTGGCGGCAATCTCAGCTTCAACCGGGAAGCTCGTTTTATCCCCATGGTTAAGGGCAGAATAACTTACAGAAGATGACCGGGCTTTAGGACAAGGCCCCTATGGGCAGCAGAATTTTCGGGTGGGTTCAATCTGGGTCTCTGGGCAGTAGGACTTAGGAGTGGGGGGGGGACTTCTCAACTTTTGTTTTGGGAGGGCATTGGGTTTCTAAGCGGGAGTTGACTCGAAGGGTAGATGGTCGACTCAGAATTCAAGGCGGCTCTACCTGCCACTCGGTAGTTCCACATGCCTTGAGCCTTTGTGGTAGGCCCCGTCCCCGTTTTAGGGTTAAGGGGTCGTCTATTAAAGTAGGAATTTGAGTGGGGCCATACGGTATTGTGTAGTCTGCCAGGTTGGTCTGGCTAGTTTCTGTTTGCTGTGTTTTGCCAGGTTGGTCTGGCTGTGTCAAACTCGTGTCGGTGTCCGAAAAAAAAAGAAAAAAAAAAAAAGGGAAAAAAAAAAAAAAAAAATTGCGCCTCGGGTCTACCTGGGGCTAGGTCCCACTTACACGAATTAAGCGATATTGACCGTAGATAGCAAAGATCAACGGCCGAAATCTCTTAATCCGTGCCAGTGGGACCCTGCCCCCGACCACAATGGCTGTCGGCGCCCGCCAGAAAAAGATCCTGGCCACACCACTCTCCAAATGCGGAAAAGACAAAACAAAAATGTGGTGGGCGCATCTGGCCATGTTCTAGCGGGAAGTTCGTTCTCATTTTGCACATTTCGAGAGCAGTGCCCGCCAAAAAAAAAGAGAAGGGCGCACTTTTCGAGAGCAGTTTGGCGCCCGCCAAAAAAAGGAGAAAGGCGCGGCTGGCGGTTCGGACAAGCTTGGCGGGAAAATGTTTGAAAAAAAAAAAAAAAAAAAGAAAGTAATAAAAAATGAGGGCTTGCAAAAAAAAAAAAAAAAGGGGGGGGGGGGGGGGGGGGGGGTGAAACCCCCCTTTTCCCTTCACCCCGGGAGGGGGAAAAGAAAAATAAAAAAAAAAAAAAAAAAAAAAAAAAAAAGAAAGTAATTTGAATTTTGCACTGATTGCAATGAAGGTT